GCGGGTGCGGGGCGGCCCAACGCGGACCGGCCTCGGGAACAGCAGGCCTTTTCGCCGCGGAGACTTGCCTTGCCGCGGTGACCTGGTGGTGCCGGTGCCCGGACACGCGTGTGGCAGCAGCTGAGCCCGGCTAACACTCGGGGAGGATTTGACCGCAGACCTCCGGGGAGAGACGGTATGGAGCAAGGCATCATCTCTCCCGTCGCATCGGGGTATTTACCTCTGAGCCCCAGGCTCTGTTCAAGCCCGGAGGGGAACGTGGTGGCCCCAAATGGAGGGAACTACACGGGGACGCTTCTGGGGACAGCTTTGCTGGTGCATGGCTGGCAAGGCGAGTCCAAGAAAGGGGGCATGAAGGCACAGAGAGGAGGGGGGGACTTGTAGGGCTCCCGCTGCGAAGGAAGAAATAGAGGGCGATTTGATCCATGCGCTCAGCCCGCCGCTGGGCAGCCACCGCTCAGCGGTGAGAAGCTTCCTTCAGGCTCCTCTCTGCTGCTTGTGCCAATGTGTCCTGAGCCTCGCGTCTCCGGGGGCCTCGGAGGAGCAGCGCGTCTTCACGCCGTGTCCCTGGCTTGGCTCTGCAAGGGCTCAACCCGGAGCTGACGTGCCCCATGGCCACAGCTGGGAGCGTGGGCGGCCGCCCACAAATCCTGCCCGGCTTGTTAGTGGGCTTCTCGCCTCCCCGGGGACCCCTGTGTGATGTCCCAGCAGTGGTGGGTGAAGTTTTGGGAGGGGAAAGGGTGAAGCCGGGGAAGACGGAGGCGGAGGGAAGCCAAGCCTGGCACCGGGGAGCTGGCTGTACATGCAGCACCGCAAACTCTGCACATCCTGCATGAAAGCTGCTGCTTAAATAAAAATAACAGACGGGAACATGAAAGACCCCATCAGATGCCAGCAGTGACTGCAAGTCTCCATGCTGGCCTGGTTCGCCCCGCTCGGGACATGCTGTGCTCTCGTCTCAAGTATGTGGCTTTACATTGTAGCGTGCGTAACGTGGAGCAGGAATCCCTTCTCAAAGCACCTTGATCCAAAGGGTAATCGAGGTCAGATGCTCAAATGGTGCCAACTTGAAGAGTTTCTCCAAGTTCAGGGATCCTGAATAGGGCTGCTGAGCTCTGGCCAGGAGTTTGGCTTATAAACAAATCCCTGCGAGCCTGTCTCTAAGGTGCATAAAACCAAATTATCTAATACCTTTGATATGCCTCGTGTTGCCCCCAGTTTCCATTTTGGGCCACGGGCTAGGAATTTTGTTCTGGCGCTCTCAGGGCCTCCTGCCGTTGCTCCCGCACAGCCGGGAGCGGGGACGTGGAGGCGGAGCAGCAGCCACTGCTCCCATAGTTGTGAAGCTGCATGAATTATTCACAGTGGCTCCTCTGGGGCTTGATCCTCCTGAACGGCCCAGCTGAAAGGGGATCTAAAATAATCCAGCAGTTTCCAGCCATGTGAAAGCCTACCTGTTTTGTTAAACTCCCTTGCCTGCTGGGAAATGGCTAATGTCTTATCCCCTTTTTGAGTTTTTGGCTGGAATTGTGATTCTGGAAGGTCAAACACAACTGACCTGAGTGACTGGGAGTAGTTGTCCAGGCAAAGGTTTTATACACTTCTGAGAAATCTCATTTTAACTCCCTGGAGTTTGTGCCTGGGTTCAGAGTCGGACAGGACACGTGCAGCTCTTTGTACAGTCCGAGTCTCAGAGTTTCTGGGAAACTTTTGCATTATCGTAGCGAGAGGTCACAGCACTGCACGAGCAGACCCACGCCCTAGAGCAGCAATAACAGAGATGCTCAACAGAGCGCAGACACGGCAGTTGCACCATGTCAAATCGTCTAGCAGCTTTTTGGAGCCAGGACCCCCTTAATGTCCTTATGCACTGTTCTGGATTAGCATCTGCTAAGCAAATAAGGGAATGATAATGCAGCGATTTATTCAGGGTGCCTGAACTGTTAAATGGCTAAACATATTAATTTATTTATCTTCCAAGAGAGGATACTGTGCTTCCCAACTGGTTTTGTTTCTAGGGCTGGTGGAAAGCCAGTTCATTATGAGTGCTGCAGCGCTCGAGAGAGTCTCTTCTCCTTGATCTTGGCATTACTTCAGTTAGACTTTTTTCACTGCGTTCTTATCCTGCAGGAAGTCTGTGAAGGAGAAAATAAGAAGAAAAAGGGTAACTCAGAGCTTTGTGATTCTTGTCTTTAAAATCCAAGCAAGGAGCCTGGAGGGAGATGTACAGTGGGACAGCTATATCTGTGTGTTTGGTGCACATCCAGCAAGCCTGATTTGATCATCTTTAATGCTAGCGTGACACCGTTAACGTTAGCAGCTCCTGATGTGCATCGGTTTAGGTGAAAGGTGGGGACTCGCCAATTTGCGGTGCCGATCGTGCTGGTGGAGTTACGCCAGAGATCAATCTGGCGCAGTAACTGTGATGCTGAATAGCAGCAGAAAAGTTTTGTTGATGGATCAATGTTGGCCTTTGACGATGAGGTGGACCCCTTCCGGCACCTTTCTCTTGCAATATTGTGCTTAGCCCAGGGCATGTTGTGCCAAATGATAACAGCAAACCGACGAGTTTGCCAAAAGTGGGTAAGTAGCGTAGGGAAGTGCATCTCCACGTGCTTTCCAGTTCTCTAAATGTGTGCCTCTTAGAGGTTTTCTTAAAAACAAGTTGTTGTGTTGTGCGAAGGCTCGTGTTGCACAATGCTGACCGGTTACCGCTCCAGCACGGAGCAGCGCAGACCTCCGTCAGCAGTTCTTTTCCGCGGAGTGATGACAGCTCAGGGACAGAGGGAAGGGACTGCAGAAAGAGGAGAGGAACCAAGCCTGTGCGTCCGGGCCAAGTGAGGGCAACACTCCCTAAATCCTAAAAATATGCAAGGAATTGGTTTGGGTGGCTTTGCGGGGTAAGGGGGAGGATGGGACACCAACCTAAGGAAGTTGCAGAGTTCTCTGCCGGGTGCAACGTAGAAGCGCCCTCTCTTACAATGAGTGGCGAGGGACATGCTGCGTGCTGCATGGCCCCAGGGATTTCCAGGTGGCTCTGCCTGGCGTGGAGGCTCTGCCGGCTGCAGTAGGGGAGCCTCCAGGGCTGCCGATAGGGAACATCACACCTTCCTAGGAGAGAGCTGGGACGAGCTGATCCTGTAGGTCCTCTAGACCCTCTCTGTGGTTCTGGGACTCGAGGGCTGTTTTTTCCCTTCCTTTTTATTTTCGCATAGGGAAGGAGAGGAGGTGGGTATTTTAGCGCAAATTGCTGCCCCTGAGTGAGCTATTTAACCGATGTTGTGCAGCGAGGCTGTTTCCCACGTTGCTGAACAAGATGGTGACGTGATCCAGGGAGGAAACAGCCGGAGGTCAGAGAGGGGAGGTGGGTTCTGAGTTCGGGTTTCGCTTTGAGTTTTCCGGATTGTTTTACAGCAGAACTCTGGAGCCTTTGTCTTTCTGGCATCAGCAGGGAACCCAGGCACAGCGCAAAGCACCTGGGGTCCGGGGTAGGTTGAAAGCTAGGTGTCCTATGACCCCACAGTAAAGCAGTGTCCTGCTGCAAAAGCTTTGTAGGATGCCTGGGTCGTAGGGAGCATCCCATCTGTAGCTCCTCTGTTCCCTTCCACCCAAGTTCAACCCCAGCCACATCTCAAGGAGGTTTTTGGTCACTGGACCCGCGTCCCTGGAAGGCAATCCCTTCCGTCCTTGACCCGCGCCTCTGCCCGTGTCCTAGGCTCTCTGCACACTGGCCGGAGCTCTCCACCCCCGGGGAGCGTTCCCGAAGAGCAGCAGCAGATCGCTCGCCAGGGATCCTACACCAGCATCAACAGCGAGGGCGAGTTCATCCCCGAGACCATGGATCAGAACGTAAGTGGGGCCAGCGCGCGCGGGGGTTAAACGGGGACAGCGCCTGGCGTGCGGGGGGCTGCGCTGCGAGCTCAGTCCCCAGCAAGCTC